TGAGCATCAGAGACTAGTGTATTTCCAAGTACCCGCAATGATGGCTGGTTTCAGATCACGTAATCCTTACACCAGTTACCATTGAGATGAATGAGAGTGGTTCAGATTACACAATTTTAGCCCGATTTTGGCACGATCCGTTTGACGTAGGGTGTAGTCGGGATTCGTAAACGTCAACGGGCGTCGGGACGCAAGATTCGATCGTATCATCTCGTTTAGTGTGTCGTAGTGGGCGACAACCTACGTCGCGTTTGCGATGCTTCACGACATCACGACAAAAAGACTAGCGTGTTTAATTTTTTTAACGGTCGTCCACGACGGTTCCGTCACATGTATGAGGTTGACCAATAGGAGCACAAGCTTTTCCGTAACGTTACACAACTTTCAAAAATGGCGAGACGAAAGAGAAAACAATATTTTACCTCAGTTCTCTTTGGAGGATTGACAGCCCATACTGTCCTCTTCGAGCAATCCAGGAACGTGTCAATTGTCGTTTTTTTTTTTGAACACAGGACAGCCAATAACACTCACCGCTTCATCCATTGTTTGTTTACGTTCGTTTCCGGAAGTACCTCACTACTAGTTTTGCTTCTCGATGACATCACGCGCCTCGTTAACACTAGAACGGCCATAATGGTCATTTTGACCGTTTTGAATTTTATATCTACAAAAACTTTGTTGAAAAAAATAATAAAATCCTGCTGATACCTGACTTTTCCTAAAATTGTCTGTATTTTCATTTTAAATGTTTTTCATATAAATTAAGTTACATAAACGTAAACTTAAAAAAAAAAAGACACGGCGGATCCAGATGTTCCATTCATGTCGGATGATCCTGGTGCTCCGCTGCCCTGTCCTGCGCTGTTTGTTTTGCTGCATGGGCTGTTCACTAGTTCTGCTAGTCCTATTATTTGACATTTTCGTCATAGTTTTTGTCATTCAAACCTAGTTTTTATTTAGTTATCGTCTCGTTTTCGTCTTTGAAAAAATGTGGTTGACGAAAATAATTACGAAAATTATTCGTCAACGAAATAAACACTGTTTTGAATCTAACGGTCAATGACAGTTTGGGGCCGTTTCTAGTAGTTTTGGCACTTCTATTGTTAAAGACAGCATGCGATGACTGGTTAGGAAGCAACGTGTAGTCTGACATGTGTCTTGTCCACGACACGACACAATTTTAGGAGTCACAGTCAGTGACTTTCATCCACACAAGCCAAAAATACATTTTCTGGCTTTTCTCAGTCTAGAAAGCTCCAAATTCAAAAATAATTTCACATTTCTTCTACATAAATGACCCATTTTAAATACACATTCATCTTTCCAGAGGTGGAATGACCCTTTAAAGCCACTTAATGCAAAGTGGGACCCATTTTACTGTATATATTTTGGATTGTGGAGATACGAGTGAACACATTAGCATTAGCTACATTAACATCATCTGTTTTAAATATGCGTGTGTGTGAGCGCTGTGTGATTTGATGTGTATTGTATAACCCTGCAGTCTCTCCTCTGGCTGTTCTTCCAGTTTCTGCTTGTCAGACAGAATGTGGGTCAGTGAGGCTGTGCTGGGGTCTCATGGTGGACGTGTGCATGGGGTTTATAGCTGCGGTTCACAGGCCCAGTCCCACACTTGCTCAAAAATATCTGGTCTGCAACTAGGCCAGTATCCGAGCCTTAGGCGGAAAAAACCCATTAGATGAGTACGAGCAAACAGCCTACTGATATAATAGAGATGAAGCGTTCGGGGTTAGCTGACGTCCATCTCCCATGATGCCCTGTAGTGCCTTCTCTTATGATGTCACAAAGGCTATAATAACTCAGTGGAGATGAAGAGACTTGTCAACCAACTGCTGTTCAATGGAGAGTTTATGAGCCACTCTGTGAACTTACGATGACATAAACCAAAATAATGAGGTCGGGGAATCTACTTCCTGTCTTGAAAGGAATCGCCAGCCTTTTCTTCCCCCTCCACAAAGTGCTGGGACACGTTGACTGTGTGTGTTTGCCTTGATAACAAGACTATGGTCATGGGAGAACTCTGACTGCAAATAAACAACTAGATTCACAGACTTCTGGGCTACTGTTTTCCCGTTTGTGTTTGCCCATGTTGGCATATAGTCCAGTATATTGAATTTGATTGGCCTGCGACTGTGTTGTATACAGTATATCTGTTACATCATCTTTCTCTTTTCGAGCACTATGGTTGATGAAGCAGGATACAGTCACCTTGGCTCCGCGTTTAGCATTCTGGCCCAGCGTTGTGGTCTGGCTCCCGGCCCAACGTTCACATCGACGCTGCTGCATGGCACACAGGATTGACTATCAGTTGAGCCCTGATTGTATATTGATTCCCTGTCAGAATAGGTTTAAGCAGTGTTCCTGTTTCTCTCTGTGTGTACACACTGGTTCTGTTGACTAAGCTGTTATGTTATCTGTTGTATGCAATATGTATAGATGTATGTGTCTAGATATGTTAGAAATGAAATGATTTCAGTTTTCGAACTATAATTTGTCTGTTTACACTTGAAGTAAAAATATTAGCTAATCAGATCAGAATAGTTGGTGTTTAATATTCCGATATATGGAGCAGAATTTTTGACCAATGAGATTCTGCTGTGGGCAGGGCTAATATTTTTGAATGGACAGGTAAATATGGAAAAGTAAACAAATATTTAGAAGTATTTTTTATATTATATTTTTTATATAATATACAATTTTATATTATTAATAATATAATAATAATATATATTTTATATTATTTTTTTATTTTATATATTTTATAGTATTTTTAAGTATTCACACAGTCCCTAAAAAGACAATTGAATACCATCCAAATTTTAGAAATGAGCCTCCACCACTACATAGTCAGTGTGAAGTAGTTTATATTGTTAATTTGCTCATATTCAAATCTTTTTGTGAAGTCTTATTGTTTTTCCTGCCAATATTTGTGACTTTAATAAGCCTTCAATCGTGCAGCAGTCTAGTCTCCCCAGTTGAAATTTGGAAGTTTGTGGATGCGGAGGGAACATAATTACAGTATTGATTTGCTATTGCTTTTTGCTCCCCAACATTATTTTTGTGTGTTGTCTGGCTAGACGTTAGCCACCGTAGGAAAAGATCTGCACTGAAACAGCTGTTATATGAACAGTATTATATTAAAACATTATAATATTCATGTATAAAGCATTTAAATAATTTACTATTTAACAAATGCTAGGGTACAAGGGCTGAAAGCTTAAGATACAGGTTTTATTCTGTGTAACATTTTTGATCTTACTATTTTTGTAAAAAGTGGAAAATGGTAATTATAAAGAATGATTTCCTGTCCACCTATTTACTTCTAGCAATTGAACTGGCAATAAATTAAACCTGCAGATGTGTTTAAACATTCCTCTTTGCATGTGTTTTCCTTCCTGTTTTGCTCTTTGAATAATGTTGTTCGCACAGATGTTAATGCATTTTGTCAGATCTTTAGACATTAGTCATGTGTGTGTGGCTGTGGCCCCATTCCTCTGTGTTTTGAACACACAAGTCCTGCTAAATCGACTTGATCACAGTGATCTTTTTACCCTGCAGTGAAGTAATGCAAGTTCAGAGCCTTTATTTATTTTCACGGAAAGACAACTGATTTATATATATATATATAACATTGTGATTTATTCTCTGTATTTTCAAACCGATATTGCAACACCTCCTCACCCAAACCTTTTATATTTAGACTTTCATTAATTTTGTATTCTGAAAACAATTGTACCATCTTTCTGTACACACATACACGTACACACAATTTTCCTTCTCGTTCCTCATGGCAGGCTTTCTCCTATGACTCACCTGAGCGTGAAACCGTCTGTCCTTGGACACCCCGTACCCTCTAATGCACCCCAAGGTCCTATTGCCGGCCCTTATTCCCCTGGCAGACCCCCAGCACACACACACACACACACTCCCCCTGGCACCCACATATGAGAGGGAGGGCTGCTGGTCTGGAGTCTTCAGCTCTTTTATTCCACAGATCGTTTAACATTTCATTACTGCAGCCAAGCACAACCTCAGTGTCAGGTTGACTTTGGTTACGTTGAAAACACATCTTTGTTCAACGTTGCGAGAAACATACCAGCCATGGTATGATCGCCAACATAAGATTGCCTCTACCTCCACTTTGGATCATCATTTTATATCTTCCTGCATTTATTGGGAAAAAAAATGATGCACATGTTGTGTTTCTTCCACTTTAAAATGCAACAAAAATGAGCCTTAAAGGGATAGCTCACTTTGAAATATAAATTTTTGATATGTTTTAGCTTAACTCAAGGGCATCCAAGATGTAGGTGTCTTTGTTTCCGCAGTAGTTTTAATTTTTGATATTTTTAGGTCAAACCGTTCATGTCTATCAGTCATATAATGAAGGTCTATGGTCACCACCTCAAAGAGCATGCACAGAGAAGTCCAAATGAAACATGATTTAATGACTCGTAAATGTAAGTACACATTGATGGCCTAAGACACAAAACGAGCGGTTTGTGTGAGTAAACGAACAGTATTTATATAGATTTTACCTCTTGTAACCACAAGTCCAAGTGATTTGAGGGCACGGGCGCTTTGTGGCTGTGGTTACAAGAGGTAAAAACGATATAAATCCTGTTCGTTTTCTCACACTAACCGCTCATTTCATGTCTTAGGCCATCAATGTGTACTTACATTTACGAGTCAATAAATCATGTTTAATTTGGACTTCTCTGTGCATGCTCTTTGAGGTGGTGACCATAGACCTCCATTATATGACTGATGGACACGAACGGTTTGACCTGAAAATATCAAAATTGAAAATACTGTGGAAACAAAGACACCTACATCTTGGATGCCCTTGAGGTAAGCTAAAAAATAATTTCAAAGTGAACTATCCCTTTAAAAACATGTTTTGGCCCTTCCCTGTTAGAACAGCCATTTATAATATTTGAAAATTCTGATCCAAATTATGTTCATCTTCCTTTCTCTAGTGTGAAGAGGCCAGCAGGCATGGGGAGCATCCTGAATCGCATCGGGAGCAAAAAGCAGAAGATGAGCACTTTGGAGAAGTCTAAGATGGACTGGGATGCCTTTAAATCAGAGGAGGGCATCGCAGACGAGCTGGCAATCCATAATCGAGGCAAAGAAGGGTATGTTTAAGCCTCATTAGTGACCCAGACAAACACATCATCTCATATTATCTCCCATTAGTGTCTCACACTAGCTTCCGAGATTTTCATCAGAGCTGAATAAATATAATTAAGCGTCTTAAGTGCTTAAAGCCACAACGTGCTGGCGTATAGTATTTCACTGGCATTTTTATCATACATTACAATTCATTCATTAATTATTCACTGAAGTTAACTGGACGGTGAAATGAATGTATTTTGGGTAAAACCAAATGCTGCACATGCATTTGATTAACATGCTGACCTTTGCGGTTGAATAGGGATGAGCAATTTTGCCAAGTACAAAAAAGTTAGTATATTCTGTTCTGGCCAAATTCTAAGACTGCTAATTACTGTTTCTCTGTCAAAAGATCTGTGTTGTCTCTGCATACGTGCTCATACATGTGTAGGAGGGATGTGGGTGCTAAATATGTGGCCTTGCATTGCAAGTGTCTGCTCGCACACCTCTCGTTGGTCGATTGAGAATGAACTCAATGAAGAGATATACAATGTTCAACATTTTTTCTAATCTAAAACCGCTTTTTCCATTACAAATGATATCTTAGCAATTTTGGTAAACTAAAAGCTAAAATTACATGAATTTCAGAAAGAATGTCTTTGTCCTCTTTTGCTTTAAAGTCCCCCTGCAGTCAATAATTTTGATTTTTTTTTTTTTTTTAAAGGGATACTCCACTTTTTTTTGGAAATAGGCTCATTTTGCTGCTCATTTGCTCATTTTTCATTAAACTCCCTCAGAGTTAAACAGTTTTACCGTTTTCTGGTCTCATTGACTTCCATAGTATATTTTTTTCCTACTATGGAAGTCAATGAGACCAGGCGTGGATTTTTTTTCCAACTAGCACCTGATTGGATCTAGAAAAGTATGTGTAACACTAATTGGAATTTTAAAACTATTTTATTTGCTATTACTGCTGCAACCTTAACCATTATAATAGTAACCTGCGAGTTACACACTAACCCATAAGTGCCACAACAGTAAACAAAGTATGGGAATTTTGAATTCATGGGAACTTTAAACTCAAGCAGTTTAACATTACATATACATTATTGACTATGGTTGGGTTATTTGAAACAATCATATTTTTTCGTTCGAACCATCGTCACGGGTTCTTTCTCATCTTCGATATTATTGATGAAAACAAAAAGCAAAGAATAAATGTGGGTTTGTTTGTAATTTTGAGAGTAACACTGCCCTGCTGACTGGTCTAGGAACGGTGTTCAGTACATCAGCAGAATGAATGGAGTGGGAGCTAAGCCAATAGCACTTCATTTAAGCCTGCTTATCTTGCCTGTGATGGCTATCTTGAGGAGGAGGTGAGGAGTAGGATTTCAGCTTTACTCAAAAGCTGATGGTGCAAAAAGGCTGATACAAACCAGGGTCAAAACGTTTAAACTAGTGTTTACAGGAAGCAAATACCATTTTGGAATATTGACTTCTTGTTTTTATTTGAGCAGTTGAATCATAGTTCCTGTTTGAGCTGGAGTTGAAACAGAGTGTAGCTAAGTGGGGTTTAAAACCAGTAAAAATGCAAAAACAATAAAATGTATAATTGAAAATTATTATTCTGTACTATTTCACTAATCAAATAAGTACATTTGTGACATCGATATGTACATACAGTCAGATGTTCTTCCATTGAAGAGGATAATTCTCAGATCATGCTGAAGAACATGATCATCAGGTTTGACACAAACAAATTAGGCGCTTTACCCAAATTCCTATTCAGAAAAAAAAACAAAAAAACATTTGTAATGGGAAAATCCAATTGAAATTTGAAAATTCTAATTCGATGCTTCGTCACAAGTGGACTCTTTTGAACCCAACTGTATCTATGTAGAGTTGGCTGATTCCTGATCGACCAATCAGAAGTGTGCAGGCAGACACTTGCACTGCGAGGTCACATTCTCGCCCACATCTCTCCTACACAAGCACAGAAAACTGACAAGAAATACATGAACAGACTGTCCATTTTCCATTTTCATCCATTTTTTACCATCATGCAAAAGTAAAATCATTTTATCCCTAATTCCGTATTCTGGACAAATGTGGGCAAAATAGTTTTGATTTTAAAAAAAAACTACTTTCCTTGATCTGAGCGGTACAAGACTTGGCTACTTTTCCTAAGTTTGCCTCCTGAACACACACATTTTTTTTTTTTACTCAATTCCGCAATGTTAAGTGGGTGGAAAAATTCCTTTATCTTGTATTTGGGTCAAAAATGGGCACCCATAGAAATGAATGGGAAAAACTGTAATTTAGACTTAGAGCGTTCTAAAATAAGCCAAAATAAGACACCAGGTGACAGCAAAGTCACTTCATCTTTAGGTTTTAGTTCTAAGAACTTATTGGAATGATTTTTTAATGTAGTTAATTTTTTTTAAAATAAAACATAAAAAATAAGCATAATTTACATAGAAAATATGGTGCTTTTTTAAGTAAATAAATTCAAAAATACCTCCAAAATAAAAAAAACACCATAAATGAATTGACAAAACTTTATAGAAGACAGTGATATAACATTTATAATAAATAAAAATTAGGATCACACCAGAGACCTCTGCTCTGTGCAAACATTTGTCCACAATTACAGGATTAAGGGCTATAAAGTGAATACGGTTTGAGGGCTACAAATGCAGTTCTTACGCTCCCTTCCCTAATTTTAAGTATTTCTGAGAGAGGGTTTCAGTTTGATAATATCTGATCCAAGAGACACAACCCTTCATCGATTGCCCTCAACACAACATGTTCATCTCAAATCTATAATTAATACCCAAAAGTTTACGCTCTATAATGTAGAGTAGGTGCTTAGTTTCTTTACATAGCAAGCTAATTTTTGCTCGTCCCCAGGGTTACCACCGCAAGCCTAAATACATGGTCTTTTCTGGCAAATTACAACATTATGATACAAATTATTATGTTTAAGGGATTGAAAATAAAGTTCATAGATTAAGTATACTTTCCCTGTCAGGAACGACTGTAGTACCAGTAATCTAGAGATCAGTTTTGTAGACCACAGAAGACTTCAAAAAATTAAACAAGACCAGAATTGAGATCTACACACACGTAGTTTGTTTCTCTGCCCCACGGTCATAATAAGATTTCATTCATAGTGAGTTTTAGAAGGAAGTGAAATCGCGGAATAAGAGTTTCTGGAGGTGAGTAATTGCGAGGTCTCTTTTGGGTTTCATGCAATTCATAGATTATCTCAGTAGTGCATCAAATGTGTTGTTGTCTTTCCTCAGAGTTGTGAACACCCCTCTATACTAACCCTGTCACCTAAGTTACCCATCCTACAGTCCTCTGGGATAATGCTCCCAGATGCATTTGGTGTAAAAACAAGGGAGGAGAGTCATTGCATCTTGTACCGAGGGGATGATGATATACAGTGATGTCATTTAGGCATTCGATGGCTACTCTATTTTAATAGCGATAAAGGGATAGTTCACCCGAAAACAAAAACAAAAAAAATATTTACTTGTGTTCATGTTATCCCAAGCCTGTATTACTCTTTCTTTTCTTAAAATATATTTTGAAAAAAAAATATTTTTTTTTTGGTCCATGCAATGAAAGTGAATTGGTTTACTGTTTTGGACCCCATTGACTTTCATTGTAGGCACCAAAACACAGAATTTGGGTTGAAACAAGTGACTATTTTGTCATTTAAACTACTCCTTTAAATCCCACTGCGCACACAGCAGTGATGCTCTGGCTTTCTTTAAATAGCCTGATGCTCCTCTTCTCTGATATATAGATGAAAAGAACTGTGTTGGTTCTCCATCAGACAGTTGTAGGGAGTGGAACAGTTACTAAATTAAAAACCTGGCCTGGGGGTTTAAAAATAAAGCAGAAGAAATTATGGTGTGCCACTGTTTCCATATTTCAGTTTCTCTGAGAGGGATGTGGTTTAGGAGGAGGGCCGCTGAAGGGTGTGGAGGACACACAGACTGGAAAAGAGCATAGTGTGCAGGCCGCTAGGCCAAACTATATGCCCAGAGGACTGTTTTCGTTCTCTCTTTTTCAAAATGTAGGACAATAAATGCACCCAGATCTGTCAGAGCTCACACAGTTGGTAAACCCAGGGTCTCAAGTCTCTGGAGGCAAACGCTTGGTCGGGCATCAGAGCTTCCAGAGCACTCTGGGATTGAGTGACCCTCTGCTGGGATTTAGGGGGAACGGAGCGCCCATGTGACCAAAAATTGCAGGCAGAAAGCTCAATGTTTACGGAATTTAATTGGGTTACTCTTAAACTAACATAGCTCTTAAATGGGTCAAACCATGAAAAATAAACTGTTTCTTAATTATAAAAAATATAAATATGAAATATTCAGTGCTATTGATACTATATATACATTTTTTTTTTAATTTTAAAAGTTCTTCCTCATGGAAAATTACAAATTTACCCATTCAAAGAGGGCTATTCTGTGTTCATAAACATAGTATTAGTATTATTTTTATTACTAAACACCAACGAACAAGCTATAAGTAACTATATAAATGTGGAAAAGAGCTTTTCGTGGCTGTGTGTAGCACCTACCAGATCCTCGTGATTAATCCCAACTTTGAGAAATAACAGTGGAAGGGATATTATGATGCTATCGGCGCCATCTTTGCAAAACAGTCTCGACAAGTCGAACTGTCTGAACTGTATGAACGGCGTTCGTGGTTCGAATTGTCGAGACTGTTTTCCAAAGATGGCTCCTGCCTGTATACACGAAGTGGACTGTCTTTATAACGTATCTTCTTAATAAACGGTCTGTACACTTACAAAGTTCTCAATGCTTCGTTTCGCATGTAGGGACCCTCATTATGTTACTGTGTTAGTGTGGGGCTATTTTGAGCCTTGTTAGTGGTATTAACTAGCGATTCTTATTAAATGCCCCCATATACTAGCGTTATACGCTAAACAGTTTTTAGAGATGAAACGCTTTACATTCCGATGTTTTATTAGACCAAAGGTACCGATGTTTTATTAGACCAAAGGTTCATTTTGCGCCGAGTTAGTTCTCCTTTAAGGCTATATGTTTTCTCTTTCTTTTCTTTTTTTTTTTGAGTATGTAGGTGTTTGTTTGTGAGATCCCATTAGGACTTCAAACAAGACACAGGCAATCAGTTTTTGCTTTCTTGTCTTCCTTTCATCATTGGTAGATGCGTGATATGATATCTAATAAAATGTTCAGTCTCGGCTCCAAGGGTTTTCCTAGTGTGCACACCGCTCTCCAGACCAATTCATTTAGACCTCACTTAAAGATGCCCTTCTCTGCTGATCATCAGCCAACCTGAACCTAAACCCAAACCATTATGAGGAATGATGTCAGCCTGTTTTATTTTCTTTGTTCTCAGCACCTGCTCTGACCTTGAGTATCAGCAATGAATAAGGGAGGTTAGATACATGCACATATAACCTCCGACATCTAATGGGTACAGCCACTAAAGCCACTATTTTGCTGTCTGAGACAAATTTTGGCATTGCCTGAATGACTGACTTTCTTCTGTGGAACACAAAATAAGATCTCTTGTTGCTTTTTTAAATCTATACAATGAAATTGGACCCCATTGAATTGTATTGTATGAACAAAAACGGAAACATTCTTCAAAATATCTTCTTTTGAGTTCTGTCATACTAAGTATGGAACAACACCAGGGTTGAGTAAATGTTTCAAAACCTCAGATAAGGAAGACATCCAAAATGTGGACAACCACTCGTTTGCGAACTACTTGTGACACGAAGTAGCATTGTGGAGCGAGCATGACGAAAAAAATATGTGTGTGAAATCACTGCACCACCTGAGTGCCTTAATAGCTGACATTTACCAACACCCCACTGTCCCCACTCACCGTTTTTTGTAATTCGTTCCAAGAGACAATGGGAAAGCAGCATATGCAGTCATTGAACTCACACAGACACAAGAAACAGCAAGACCCGGTGTTTGTCATTGTCATTCTTGCCAAGTGCGTGTGCTTTATTTCCTTCACCATTATCTCCGTGTCCTCACCGTCTGCATGTGTCTGTAGGTACGTGGAGCGGAAGAACTTCTTAGAGAGAGTGGACTTGCGGCAGTTTGAGCTGGAGAAGAGCGTCCGTCTGAACAACATGAAACGGTGACAAGAGGAAAGAGCACATTCACTGATCACAACACAGACTGTCCCATATTCACATTCGCCCTGCACACACTGTCGGTTTTTCAACATTTTTCAGATCCCTGGCCTGTGACAGTCCTCCAAAAACAGGTCTGCCTTCACAATCAAATGCTCACCATCTTTTTCTTCTACAATTCCTTTGTCCGATATTGCATGTCGTCTTCAACATGAAAGTGAAACTGCTCAAGATGTTAGTCTTCCTCAGAAACCCCATTTTACAATCCGCTGAAGTACGTCAGACACACCTAACATTCAATGAGAGTGACATTAATGGGGAAGAAAACCTCATTAAGATCCTCAGATAAGGGTTTTCAGCTTAAACTGAATTATTCGGCATAATTCATATCTTTGTTCTGACGGTTAGGCTTTTTCGTAATATTAACGACCATCCTATTCAGGAAAATTGTTCTTTTATTTGATGGTTAAATGGAAGGGCACATTTGTCTTTTGTTTTTTCCCCCATGTATACTTACTGTTGTCTTGAATTTATTTTGCTAAGAGTGCTTGTATGGGAATTACCCTGCCGTCGTTTTAATAGTGTTTCACTGTTTGACAGGAATAAATCATGTCAGTTGGTTTGGACACTTTCTTTTTAAATGAACCATGTCTTGTCTGTTAATTACTCCCACTTAATAATGAATGGCTCCACCTCCTCACTAAGAGTTGGCTTTTCCTTTTCCTTGATGCCCAACGCTCCATCTCCACCACTGTCTGGACTGCTTAAAAAAAGCTCTCTATCTAGGAAAGAAATCAGCAGGGTTTAAGTCACAGATCTCTGAATCACTAGTGAGTCGAGCATGAATCCTTCCCCTTTTCACGGGGATGTGAAACGGCGCCGTCATCTTTAGAATATTGTCTTTGAACTTCCGTGTTTGCGGTCGCTCTGTATATTTCTATGGCATCGCTGTAGAGGAGTAATTAGCTGGTGAAGTGGATTTACTTATTGTAGAGTTAACAAAAGTTATCATGAGCATTGTAATGTTTATCATATGCTTTGTAAAGCAGATGTGTTAACAAATGTCGACCAGGAATTTTTTTTACGAGCAGTTCATTCATACCTATGAAAATACAGACCGGAAGTCAAAAGACAACGAGCGCAGCTCTGAAAAGGGGCGGGGCTACATAAGGTCTATAATAATATGCAAGATCTTTTAAAACTCAATTAATGTTTTAAAGGAGTAGTTCACTTTTGAAAAAACTTTTGCTGATAATTGACTCGCCCCCATGTCATCCAAGATGTCCATGTCTTTCTTTCTTCAGTCAAAAAGAAATTAAGGTTTTTGATGAAAACATTCCAGGATTTTCTCCATATAATGGACTTCAGTGGGAACCAAACAGTTCAAGGTCCAAAAGACAGTTTCAGTGCAAACTGTTCAAAGGGCTTTAAACGATTCCAGATGTTGAATAAGGGTCTTATCAAGTGAAACGATCACTCATTTGAAAAAAAAATAACAAAGTTTAAGTTTTATAAGCTCAAATGCTCGCCTTGCTCTGTTCTGTGACGCACGTTTTTGACTCTCCTGTTCGAACTCGTTCATCATTCAAAATGAACGAATCTTTTTTCGAGTCATTTGGTTAATTCAACGAACGACATGAACGAATTGACTCGAAAAAAGATTCGTTCATTTTGATGAATGAGTTCGAACAGGAGAGTCACACAACAGAGCAAGGCGAGCATTTGAGCTTATAAAACTTAAACTTTTTAAATGAGTGATCGTTTCGCTTGATAAGACCCTTATTCATCGTCTGGAATCGTTTAAAGCCCTTGAACAGTTTGCAGTTTGCACTGAAACTGTCTTATGGA